CAGACTCGCTCACCTCCTGCCCCTGCCAGTGAGCAGTACAAAACACCTGACTGCCATGCCCTGCACACTCAGTGCCCGGAGGGCTCAGCTACCACACCAAGGCAACCATAGCAGTATCCCAAATACAGCACCCAGCAACCCAAACCCTGGACTGCTCTGAACTGTAGCGGTGGCCTCCCCACTGCTCTCCACAGTGCAGCTTGTCCTCCTGGGTCCCCTGGCAGCTATCAAGACTTCTTAGTGCAAAGAGACTCATTAATGAAGTGGAAAAGGAGGAGGAGGAGCAAGCTGAATGGGGTGTCCTAAGGGACAAAACAAAGAAGGAGGAGAAGAGCATTCACTTGATTGCAGGATATGCGACTGCCAGATGGAGAGAAACAACTGTCAGGAAAATAACGGGGATGTCAGGAAAATAACTGGGGGATGAAAGGATGACGGGGCCAGCTGGCTGGGGAGCATGCACAGGAAGGCTGGGAGAAAAGGTGCAACCCAAGGAGATGTGAGTAGAAGGAAGGTGGGAAGGGATGCAGCCCACAGAGATGAGGGCCACAAAAAGAAGGGTGAAGACACGGAACATGGACAAACTGCACGTCCCTGCCTCCAATAACTGCTGGTCCTGGAGCAGCACAGCCTTCTCCCCAAAGCCATACAGCTGCTATCAATGCCCCATCCACAGAAACCTCCACTGAAATGCAGCTTGCTGAGCCAGCAGGAGGCAAAGGGAGGCCTGCAGAGCTGCAGGCAGGAGGGGAAGGCTCTGACAGGCATCTTCTCCCAGAAGACATCCAACGCATCACAGGGAAAGCTTTCTCAAGGCAACCAGCTCCATCTACACTTCCCGCTCTTGCCCTTGGGTCTCTCCATCCCCACATGTCACTGTTGGCTTCACTCACTCCCAGTGAGTGTGCAGCATGCAGTTCACAAACAGAAGAACCAGCTGAGGGAGGAAGACAGGCTGGGCTGTGTGGGAAGGACATTTTTCTCTATCATGTTGGTTCCCAGTTTTCAACCCATCTCTATGAGGGTCTGGTTGCTGTTTTTGTCAGCAGCACTGCAGGACTAGCAGGGTTGAACAGGCCCAGTGCTCAGCAGCTGCTGACCAAAAGTCACTGGCCACAAGCTCTTGGCCAGCTCACCTGGTGGGCAAACGGCATGGAAGACCGATGAGCAGAGGGCTGGCCGTGTGACACCTGGCAGTGCCAGAGGCTACAGGGGACAGGCAGCAGGGGGGAGAGTAAGGTTTCCCTCCCCAACTCTTAGCTCCAAGCAGAGTAGGAGTGATCACGATCCCAAGGATGGAAAAGTGCATGGTCAGCAGCGCCACAAGATAGCTGGTGCTCCAACTCCAAAGCCTCACTTCACCTTCACCCTTTGTGTCCCAGGTGGGGATCGTTTCCAAGCATCAGGGAGCCAGGGCATGCAGCAGCTGTCCATTCCCAGGGCAAGTCTTTGCTGGGGAAAGACCTCATGTCACACAGTCCCTGCAGAGGAACTGTCTCCCCACAGCTGAAACCCCATTTCCTCAGGGCAGCCCCTCCTGCTTCCTGTGCTGGAGCACAAATTCTGGGAGGTCTGCTAAGCAGCAGAAGGGCTGTCCCTCAGCAGGCTACTCTCTCCTCAACACATTCCCTTTAGGGCTCAAACTCTACACAGTCAGACCAGTCTGACTTTCTGGGCCCAGGGTAGCTGCATAAGGATTCCCATGCCTGGGCAGTCCCAAGAAGTGCCCCATGAGCTCAATGAATCCTGTGTTACCAGGTGCCCCAGGGATTCCTGCCCAGTCTGCTCCCTCACATTCCACTGTGGAGGGCACGTAAACGTTCAGTGAGCCTCACTATCACTGGTGACAGGGATTGGTCCCTTGAAGCCAGCTTGTAACCCCTGACAGGAGGAAGGAAGGCACAATTCTCTCATGTACAGTTGCGGGAGAAGGCATGAGCCACGATGCTGTGGCAGATCTGTCTGTCTGCCCAACCTTAAGTCACAAAGGCATCCAAAATTCTGCCTGAAAAGCCTGACCCCAAACTTAGACCTGAGAGGGAAAAAGTTTTCCCACCCCGGAGACTTTTACCAACAGCAAATTGGACTGGGACAGGGAATTGTGAAAACACTTGTGAACTGACAGGCCAAAAAATCCTTTGTGGGTCAGCCAACTGAAACACTTCCCTGTGAAATTGCTAAAATGATTCACTTGATTTTTACCTCTTCCAAAACCAACAGAAGCATCTAGCTGAGAGAAAAGGAGGGTATTTTATTTGGAAAATGCCAAACTGACCCTTTTTGATCATTTGAAAATTTTCCTTACTGTTAAGAACATGAGAGTCACCAGAAAGGAACCTTTTCCCTTGAACAGTTTGCATTCAATCCCAATATGAAGCCTGACACATTGGATAGGGAGGTCTCAGCTGCACGTTGGCAGAATAGCCCTAGAAGGGGGGTCAGTGTGGGGCCAGGACCTGTGCCCAGAAAGACTTGGTACTTCCCAAGGTCTTGTTAGGAGCTACTGTGAGCAATCATCACTCCTGCACTTTTGATCCAGGCACAAGGCCAAACCACAGGTCAGGTGGCAGCTGGCCCTCCTTTCTTGGGGCCTAAGGCCCAGCCAGGTGCTCCCCACGGTGCATGGGGCAGGGGTATATCTGCCTGACATGCCCATCTCAATGACTTGCCCACGTTCACAAAAGCCAGCTGTAGTAAAAGAAGGAGCTGAATTCAAGCCTGTCAAGCAAGTGCTTGACCACACTGGACCAGCCATTCCCTCACAGCCTCTCCAGCATGGGAAAGATTAATTGGATGAAAGAAACAGTGAGTGAACGTCAACTCCATTCCTGCAGTGAAGAAACTGTGCCATTAAAATCATCTATCCTATGACACACACAGAGCCTACTTCAGTAATAGTTTGGCTGGGGAATAACATTACTGCGCCTATAAATACCTTGTGGGGTGCTGCTCTGCTGATAGAACAGCAGGGTCTAGCCCTGGCCTAACACAGATGCCTGCCCTGGGTGCGAAGAAGCCACTGGAAATGTGCAGCAATCACCTGAGCCATCAGCTACCCTGCTCTGCCCCAAAAAGTGAAGGACAAGCTATAACACAACTGTCTCAGGGGTAGCTGGGAACATCGCACGTGCAGCCACAGAGGAGAGTTAGGGGGTGGAAGAGAACTGTGGTCAGTGGGAACATGGCAAGAGCTGAGAGCATGGGCTGTGCTACCCCAGGGAGACACCAGAGAAGGAGGATGGGGGTAAGAAGATGGTGGAAAGCATCAGCACCAAGAGAATGTTTCCAAGGCAAACAGCTAGGCTCCTTACCTCTGAAGCCAAGGGCTTTGGTTGACCCTGTCTGACACACACACTCAGTAAGGAGTCCCTTACCCTGTCCACCCCTCAGGCCACACCAGGAGTAGAGGGTTTCTTACATGAGAGAAGGTACCAGCTAAGACTTCTCAAGGCACAAGCATATCCCCTGAAGTATTCTGGGGACATTTGCTGCACATTATTCCCAGCCCATATAGTGCAGAAGAAAGTTGCTCTCTGCAAAGCCCCCAGTATCATCTGGGCCAGCCTGGGCACCAAATGTGACAAATCAACAACAAACCTCCAGTGCCTGCTCCTGTAGTAAGGCCCTGAGACAACATAGCTAGAGAATTTACCCTGTCGTGTCTCAGTGGGACCATGAATGGAGGAGAACAAGTCAGGAGAGGGGCCAGGCACCCCAGCCATGAAAGCTGACCACCATCGCAGAGCTATGTAGAGTGAAAGGAATAACTGGAGCCAGCAGTGCTGTCAGATATTTGTCATCTTGCAAAGGAAATTGTGTGGGTGGCCCCTGTCCTGCCAAGACACATTGAGACAAATGGCTGAGCGATTTGAATATTAAATTCTTGATGTAAGGGGACTTTCATGACATTCAGCATGGGTCTCATACTGCTCCTCCTGAGGGCAGAGTTAAGCCAGTATTGAGCAGCTTTAATACTCTTCCCTTGTACACATTTTATGTACACACATAAAAGGGACTGCTAACTACCTTCACTGCTCACAGGCTAGATCTCTGCCCATTTGCAAGAGCGCCAAGACTGTTCTTCAAAGCTCTTGGATCCCTCCCTCAGACAGCTCTCCCAAATCCTCAGCAACTTGTTTATGGGCATCATGGGAGAAAAAAGGGAACACCAAACCCAAAGACCTGGTGGAATGTGGTTCCTCAGTGTGAGGACTGGCCAAGAGATGTGCCAAAGGGATAATATAAGCAAGGCAATGCAAAACCTGGATGCGTGAGAGACTCATAAATGAGCCGGCAGCCAGCAGAGCATAGATTTGTGGCTACTTGTTACACAGCGCCTCTGTCCCCAGCAGACATAAAGCTTTAGGAACCCCTGAGACATTGAGATGACTGTGACAGCTCTGGAAGTTGCAATGTGCTGCCTCGGAGCAGTTGGAAAGTTTTTCAAAGGGCTGCAGTGAGCCCCACCTCATTCAGGGAAACTCTCAAGAAAGGTAAATCTCCTGACAGCCCATGGTCCAAATCCACCAGACACCCATTAGAGCTGGGGAAAGCTGACATCCACGGGAGCCTGTCTGAGCTGGCAGAGCTGGTGCATTAGAGTTTGGCCTCATGAGAACATTCCCTATGCAATGCCTTTGCAAGTAAGAAAGGGCTTAGCATTCACTTTCTCTTGGACACACAAAATTATAAAGCAAGATCCCATAAGGAGTCTACTGGAAACTCTGCTAATAGTTGCATGGTTCTTGTAGCCACAGAGAGTATCCACAGAGGAACCCAGCTAAGTTCCCAAATGAGACATGGAGAGCAATTGCAAAGTGCGAAGTGCAGATATGTCCTGAAAAACATATCATTTCAATGCAACAGCCAGTGGGACCCACAGATCAACTGGTCAAACTGAAAGACATTCCCAGAGCCATCTGAAGTGGTACAAATCTCAGAGAGCACAGTTTCAGCAAAGCTGTACCGTCATATATCCCTCTTTCAGCAACACACAGTACCTTGAACAACTGCTTGTGCTGAAGGTTTCTCCAGAATCCTCCATGCTCCCAACCCTAAGCAGTGATTTACAGAGTGGCTAAATCTTCACTTTGTTCAGTCCATAAACCTAAAAACAAACCCCAAAATTAAGAATAATCAATTGTACACCCTGCTCAGAATAACTCCCTATGATCATCCCAGCTTCCTCTAGCAATAGTCTATGGTCTGCCCGCAACCCCTTTGCTTCCAGTGAGCACAGATTAGGGTCATTTCATCAAAAATAGCCTACACGTATGAAAGGTAGGTGACAACTCAGCCTGACCAAGGGTGATTCAGCCTTGCATATCTAGGAGGCCAAAAAAGCTGCCCAGGGCAGCCTGAACAAAGGACAGCCCACTGCCCCCAGCCCCAGGCACAGCTGGCCAGAGCACTCCTGCCAGCTGCTGCTTCAGCCATGGGTGTTACAGGTACACGCTGGAAATAGTTAGAAGATGACATGTGGAGCTCAGAGCTCAAAATTAGCACCTTGAATCACTCTGAAGAGCAAACAGAAAGTCAGTACAGCTTCTGGAGAATAGGTGCTATCTTGCCTGTGGCTGGTGCCACTAAGCTCAAGCTGATGACTTCACTGCCATGGGCAGTGAAGCCAGAAATGTACGCAGCTCCAGACTCATGCTGTGGCAAAAGGTTCCTCCCAGAGACACTGTCACAAGCTTCTCCCCTCTTCTGTGGATGGCAAAGGGAAGTTATGGGCACCAAGGAAAGCAGCCTACCATCTGGATCCAGTACTATTCAACTCCAATGACAGCAGTATCAAACCAGTGCTTGGGAGAAGCCTGACTGTGGATAGATTAGAGGAGGCACAGTGTGTTCATTCTTATACATGCTGCACTGCTATTACCCAGACTGAAAATAAAGTCTCACTTTTCATGCAAAGATGCACAATGGTTAACATGAGAAAAGCTTGCCTGGGAGCCATGCAGGTATCAAACCAATTTCAAAACGGGTCTCCAGTTACTACTGATGTTTATTTGATTCATATTCTTTCTGGCTTGCCAGATGTTTATTCTCTGAGGATGAAATTCTGCCCAGCACCAATAGACTGGTGTGAGGCCATAAGGAGGTACAAAAGTCTCCTGCTGCAGGGTGGCACATTTTCCTTAAATTTCTCTATTCTTTCACCACTTGAAAAGCTGTGCTTCAGACTGTATTGGTACTTCAAGCACACAAAGAGTTGGGGAGCAGAGCTTCTGCGGAGATCAGAACTGGGCTCGCATACATCAGCTGCCGAGCTTGGATTTGGAAAAAATCCATATTTCTGTCAGTGTAAGAAACAGATCCATGTCTCAGAAGCAGGAGTGGCTGCTCAGACCAGGTATTAGCTTCCTGCAGGAAGCCTATGTGTTGGCTCTGCTTTGTGCTTCACTGGAGAAGAAGCAACTTGGGATGGATTTGTAAGTCTCCAAGAGTCCATGTTGCAGGATACAAGATGCCCAGGTCCTGATGGCATTCCCTGATGGCTGCTGGCCACTGCTCGCCACAACGGACACATTTGCACATGGTGAGGAAGGTACGAGCCACACTGCAGGATGGTGGCATGGCATTGGAAAAGCCACTAAGGCTCAGGTCCTTGAAGGCACTTTGGTGTGCCAAACTTCAATAGAAATGATGGTAACAAGGCCTCCTCCTGCTCCTGCCTGGGCCTCATCCTGGACTGGAGTTTCCTAACTGCATCATGGCAAAGGCCTATAGGAGAAAGAGTCCTATGGAGTCCAAAGTGATGTGTAGGGGGAGCCTTATCTGTCCCAAAATATAGCTAATGATAATGTAACGACCTTGCCACTGCTCCAGGGCTGATCCATGCCATCGCTATACCTGGAAGGGATACAGGGAGTCTGCCTGCTGGCCACATCCATGTGGGAACAGACAGCGCTGCTCCCTAGCAGCTCGTTTCCCTGAAGCTCCTTGGTGTCTATTTTAGCTAGCATGCGTGGCAGAGGTTCAAAGCAGGAGGACCTTTACTCGCACAGGCAGCTGTGGGTTAGGTTCAGGCTGGCCACCCTGTGTTGGCAGGGCAGTGAAGCGTCTGATCCATGGTGGGCAGAGGGCTTTGCCAGAGAGTACTACCTGCCAGCCCTCAGAGGACAGCAGGCAGGTGCCCATTCCCCATTCTAGCCCCAGGAAAATCAGAGGGGAACATTCAGGGACAAGGGGAAAGGGAAGGGAGAGCTGAGCTCTGCCTTCCTTCTCCAGAAGCACACAGCCAGATGCAGGCCCTGGGCCCTAGCTCCATGCCAACAGCCACTTAGGGGACAGAAACTCAGCCACTAGTCCCCTTCCTCAGAGATCTTAGGAGTCAGCTCCACCAGCCTGGGAACAGGAGCTGCCTTCATACACTGGCTTTCCCACCCAGATATGGCTTTTCCCGCCCGCACCCCTCATCCAGCCCTCCAAGGAAGGAGTTAGCCCTCGCACACAGGTGCTCACACATGCAGGTTCCATACACCTCCCCTGCTTTCCCCACACATGCCTGCTCTCTCCATGATGCTTGTGTGTTCCCTAGCACACATACACATCCCCCAGCACACACACACACACCAATACGCCCATACACGCTGCATGGCACACCCTCTCTCCCAATACATATGCTGGCATACATCATCTACCAATACGCTCACCTCCATACACTACACAAAAACAGACAAATGCACATACATGCACCAACTTGTGTGAACACACACACAAATGCTCTAGCTGGGGTTTCTCCCCCACACAGGCTCAATGCAGTTTGCACAAACACGGAAACGGAGACATGCTCAGCTGTGCATCTCACACACATTCAGGCTTGTTGTGGATCTCACACCCGTGCACAAACACACATGCTGGCTCTGCAGTGGATCTTGCATGCACCACACACACACTCACAAACACAGTGCTCAGTCTGGGGGTTCTCACACACACACACACACACACACACACACACACACACACAAGTGTAATGTGGCTCTCAGGGACAAAGCAATGGGGACATGCTTTGCTGTGGCTCTCACACATACCCCTGCAGAGCCATGGAGCTCTGCTCCCTGACATGCTGCACCCAGCACCTCCTGCACTCCTGGCCTCCCACCTGCCCTGTGCTCACCTGATACACAACACCCATGGGGGTGTGATGGGCCATGCACCCACTGCAGGAGTGGGTAGTGGAACACACACACACACCCCCCCACACACACACACACACAGAGCCCAGTTGCTGGGCAGCCACTTAACTCCTTGCTGCCCGAACCCAGCACTGTCCAACCCGGCCTCAGCACCATCCAGGCTAGTCCCGCACCATCCAGCCCTGCTCCGCATTGGCCAGCTCGGCCCCAGCACCGTCTAGCCCTGTGCACACTATCCAAGCCCGACTCAGCACCGTCCAGCCCCGTGCCCTGCCTCGTCCAGCCCAGCCTTTGACGGCCCAGCCTAGCCCCAAACCACAACACTGGGCTCCGCACCCCGCGCCTTTCAGCCGACCCGTCGCCCCGCACCCCGGGGCCGGCCCTCGTACCCTCGGACTCTGCACCTAGCCCCG